GGCAAGCTTGCATTTTGGACTATACTCATTTAGAGATGGTATTTATCTACACAGATCAGAAACAGTCACACAAAGAATATGTAATATAAACTTGGATTTTTACCTTCCCTCATCATAACATGGAGAAAATAAAAATCTTTATCATAGGGATAATGAAGACACCAAGCTATAGCTAACAGTCCTACACGGGAACCACTATCATGAACTAATCAAATGTGGAAAATAGGTCTTGTAAACAATAGAGATGTTCTGTTTTCTTGGAAAGAGAGAGGAGAAAAAAGGCAGATAGCACAATGGATATTGGCAGAAAATTTTAGACTGAACAATGTATTGCCAGGGGGACAAAGTTGCCAAAGTCAGCCTAATTTTCATAGGAACTACAGCACGGTGTTAAGTTTTCTACATATTGGGTGTACAAAACTTCTAGATTTGGAGTAGAGGGAATGTGACATTCCACTCCCCTTTATTCCAAGATCTTTAACCAGTCGTGTTTTAAATGCCACTAGGAAGATTCTTGAAATAAATAAAAATGACTTGACAAAGAGGCATTTGAGAAACATCTGTGCACTACTTCTGTTTTCTTTTAGGGCACCAAAAGCTTTTTAGCCTCACAGATGCTTACTCGTGCAGCACCTCTCCCTAGAATCTGTCTCACTGTGTCTCTGTCTCTCTCTGTCTCTCTCTGTCTCTCTCTCTCTCTCTCTCTCACACACACACACACACTGGCCCCCATTAATCATTTAAGGCTCATTTTAACCTTCAGTTTCTTGTAAAGTGTTTCCTGAGCTCAGTCTGATCTGTCCACACTTACCTACAGAACACCTCATGTAATCCTCAGCCCTGTTCAACTACTGGTAAATATATCATTATGACATAACACTTAACCAAAGAATGCTTTTCAGTGCATTAGAAAATAATTTTGTCTTTCTTAGAGATTTCAGAAAACAATAGATATTTTGCTGGGGTGAATATTGATAGTCATTAATTCATACTAATAAAATTACTTCAGGTAGATAGCTTCAATAAGATGTTCACTAACTTAAAAGTGCTTTTTTCTATATAGGTTCAACCTGACCCAAATTTCCCTAGAGCAGGTTATCCATTCCTTTAAGAAGAAACTAAGTGATATTTTCAGAGGTGAAGTGAACTTACATTTAACATCAGTGATACATTGGCCAAGTTCATAACAGCCACCAGAAGTAAAATTGCCCCTAAACTAAACTTAACCACCCTTCCTAGTAAGGACCCAGGGTCTGCTGTAATAATTGCCATTTCAGCCTGACTTACAGCATTCCATTCATATGCTGGCATATACCAGTTCAATAGTCCTTATCCGAAATGCTTAAGTCCAGACATATTTTTGGATTTTGCCTGCTGTCAGATAACATAATGAGATATGTCAGGAATGAGACAAAAAACTGAAAACAAAATTTATGCTTCTTACACAAAGACTGAAAGTAAGTGTATATAGTGGTCATAATAATTTTATACATGAAACAAGGTTTTATTATATAGAATGTTCCATTTGTTGGTACTCAAAAAATTTCAGATCTTGGATCATCTCATAATTTCAGATTTTATATTTTGGTTGCTCAACCTAACTTTATAAGAGTTAGCATTGGGGCTGGGGATTTAGCTCAGTGGCAAGGAACCTGCCTGGCAGGCGCAAGGTGGTGATTTCGGTTCCCAGTACCGGAGAAAAAAAAAAAAAAAAGAGTTAGCATTGTATCTTCTCATTTTCATTCTAAATGTCACTGTCAGAGCTCTTTTTTCCATTGATTATGAAGTTCTATCCCACTCCTTAATGGGGAAATCCTCTTTGCCTGTGATTTCATACAGGTACAGGTCCCAGCCTCTTACATCTCTCAAAAGACATGAAATGGGTTTCCTGGACACTAGTAATTGTTCTAATTAATGTCTCAGCTCAGATGACCATTCCGGTAAAAGGAGTGCTGTTACTGGGCTCTGATGCAACCCATAGTGCTTTATTCTAGGATTCACAGCTCCTGGAGGTGCGGCCAAGGAGGAAGGTAGCTTCTCACTTCCTGGGAAGCCTTCCCAAGATGTGCACTCCACCCAGCTGCTGGAACCTCTCTTCCTCGTTTCTCATTTCCCCTAAAACACCATCTCTCAACTTCCCTTTGGCATACACAGCCTCCCTGCAAAGAGTTTGGTGATTTATAAAAGGGAAGTGAAAACACTGACACCTGCTTACATTTTCCACTCTGAGAAAAGTTCCCAAAGCAATGCAGAAATGAAGAATCGGTGCTGTATGAATAAAGGAAGGAAGGAAAAATTATGATGTCAGCAAAAATTATAAGGCTGATCAAAAGAGATGGTGAATATTTAAATGAAAATACTTATTACAGTAAAACACATTGGCTAAAATAATGGAATAAGGGTGTTTAAAATCAATGGGAGTATCTTGAATATTCTGAAAGAGATTTGTGGCAATGAGTCTCATAGTGTACAAAAAATTTAAGTTTAAACATTCACTATATTTTTTATCTCTTCTTATTGACTCAACTCAAGACATCAAGACAGCCATGATAGTGAAATTAAAGACATACACAAAAGAGGCCCTCCAGAATGGCCTCAGAAAGCCGCCACAACCAGCTGCGCACGGTGGCTCAGGCCCGTAATTTCAGCACTTGGGAGGATGAGGTAGAAGGAGCACAGTGAGTAGGAGCCAGCCTGAGACAAAACCTCATCTCAGAAAGAAAGTTTCATAGAGAAAAAAAGAAAAAAAAGAAGGAACAAAGAAAGAAGGAAGGAGGGAAAGCAGAAGGAGTAAGAGATAGGATAAGCATGTGTAAAAGAAGAGGGAGGATTTTGAGGAGGATTAAGGTTAATGTGTCTCTTATTGTCATAATTCTAAAAAATTTAAATATTAATCATATTTCTTGTCATATTGCATATGCTATTTTTTAACATAACCTCCTCGTGTAGACATCTTTTCCCATTAGACATTGAATATCTTGATAGTAGTAAATATGTCTTTTTAATTTTGATATTATGGCACCTAGCATAACCTTCGATACTGGGTCCGTTACCTGTTGTGAAAAGAAAGGAACAAGAGATAAAAAGTGAAATGAAAGGAAAGAGGGAAGAAAGAAAAAGCCATGAAGGCCTAGTGATGTATGTAGCTTAGTGGTAGTGTGAGTGCCTAGCATGTGTAACGCCCTGGGTTCTATCACCAGCACTAAGAAGGAAAAATCAAACAGCAAAAAGGAAGGGGCAGGAACATTAGTACATAAATCAGTGGAAATACGCATCGAGCATAGACAGTAGGCAAAGTGTTTTCTTTAATATTATTTACAACGAAAGTGCACCAGATCTCCAAGAGCTCAAAAATTAGATTTACCATATACTTTTTAAAATTTATTTTAAAAATAAAAGAAGGAAAACATATTAACAAACAGATATCCATTTACAAAATAGCATAAGAAAAATACAAGCATACAGAGTTACAGACAAAGTGGTAGGAAATTAACAATGGTTGTTGTATTACATATTGATATCTTCAAAGTGATTTCTCAGGAAAACGAATAGAGACATGCAAGATTGATCAAGTAATTAATCATTAACTGTTCCTTTCAGTAAAGACATAGAAGTCAGTAGTTCATCTATGTTGGCTATCCTGTATATACATACACACATAATTTCCCCTTCTTTTCTCTTTACCCTCACCCCAGTTGCTCTTTACTTTTGAGCATTTTCCTTTCATTTCACAATGTCTGTCATCCCTCCTAATTTTTATTCACTCTTTCAGGTTGTTACACTAGTGATACAATA